TTTTTTTTATTTATTTTATTTACAGATTATTTTTTTAATTATCGTACAAACTTATATTATAGATATATAAATTAAATTAGTAACAAATCGAAATATTCAATTAATTACTAGATTTTTTATTTATCGTCAATAGATTATCTATTATTATTATTTGAGTAATGGGCTTGGTCAAGCAGAAAAACCTGTAACGCTGCGACCTTCGTGATCTTTTGTGTTCGAGTATTTTAAAGTTCGCTCGTAATTCCTGTTTTTATATTCTCAGGGTATAAATGGGTATAAATGTATTTTCCAAATATATATATCATTTGTGTATAAGTGGGCTGCAGCCACAAATTACGTGCCCTGCCGTTTTTTTTAATTGTGACAAAATCTGCATCTGTAAACACTTTTTGGGCATAAGCCTAGTTGCGCTATGCGCTTATTTAGTTTGTAGTGTCTAATGAAAGCCTTTATTATTATACAGAATAGACTGTCAAAATTTTTGGTCAATTAAATTATTCTTTTGTCTACATTTTCATTAAGATATTTAAGAAAAAATAAATATCAGGGATATTAATAAGAGCAATAGAAGCCATAACAATATTTCCGTCTTAACTATATATTTGTCTGTAATCATACAAAAAATATTAAAGTATGCGATTTTCTCAATATGGTTGACCATCATGGTTGAACTTAAAATTTGTTGTATGTTTCGTCCCAAAATCTACGCGTGTGAAATAGCAAGCAATCCTTACTAATATTAAAAATATGAAAGGGAGTTTGTTTGTTACTTTAAGGACTTGACAAATCGCTGTAAAATTTTGATATGCACGTACTATATAAGATGAAGAAAGATTTTTTTTTATTATTATTTTAAGGGCTTTTACCTTCTTCAGGCATATCAGTCCTATCGTACCCTGAACAAATTTCTCAAACAAAACTTTATCTACTTTCCCAAGATGCGGAAAGAGAAGAAATAATGGGCATCAATAATTTACAGAGATGTTCAAAAATTTCTGGTTTAAGTTCAGCTAACATAGATTGAATAAGACCAACATTCAATTTATTTAAGTTAAAGTGGCGCATGAATTATTCTCTTTCCTTTGTGTTAATACGACGCTCTAATAGAATATGATGCATATCATCGATGGTATGAAGAAAGATATAGGCTACTCTTTATCCTGGTCAAGATATGGACATATCTTGGTTGTGGTAAGTCGAGGGTAAAAGCCAGAGTCAATAATAAAAGAAAAATGAAGTTACAAACGTGCTTCTAACAGAGATTGAGACATTTGCATTTACTTCCGCGCAAATGACAAACGCTCTACTAACAATTTCTTCCCTCCCTCCCTTACACGTTTGTTTAAAAATAACAATACTGTAAAGAATACAAATTGTTTTATTAAAACAATAAGAATAAAGGATATATTCTTATTGTTTTAATAAAACAATTTGTATTCTTTACAGTATTGTTATTTTTAAACAAACGTGTAAGGGAGGGAGGGAAGAAATTGTTAGTAAATGGCCCCTATTGGTAGCAATATACACTATCAGGTCGATTTCTGCGTGGTTCCCATTGGAAACTATTGTGGGTAATTTCTGCTGAATTTGTTATGATGAGTCAACTTCATCCTGACTAATTATTCATTGGCATACTGTCAGTGTAGGCAGGGTTGCCATTGCATTTTCATCTTTTAAAAAAATCCTAACGTATATTTGTTGCAAATAAAGCATATTTTCTACTTTTTTTCTCTGAATTACTAAAGGAAAAGGATTAAATGACTATATCATCATCATCGTTTCAGCCGTTAACTGTCTACTACTAAACATAAGCTTCCCCCTTGGGTTTTGCCAGTAGTTGCTATGCTTGGCAGACGGATTGAATATCGTATCTAGGCTTTGGAGATGTTTTAAGAGAGACGCTGCTGCCTCGCCCTCTCTTAGTTACCTCTTATGACACCCACGGGAAAGAAAGGGGTGGCCCTTTTATGCCGGGCCCACACGGCTTAAATAACTATATAATTATCGTTATATACACCAGAAAGCAAATTATTGTTTTTTCGACATAATGTTGAAATAGATATAGTGATTCTAATTCATTTTATACTGTAAAATCTCGAAATTCGAAGTCATATGTTCGAAAATGTTTGTCGTGGTTCGAATCGATGCTATTCGTCTCAAACGTTCGTAATTATTCAAACCAACTCGATCGGCTTTTCCTCGAGAAATCGACATACTTAGAATAACGTAAATTGATTTTTGCTCGAAAAATGTTCGAATTCGATTTTTTTCTCGAATTCATGATTACATGATGATGGACATAAAACTAAATTAAAAAACTTCGAGTTTTATGTACTTTACTATGTACTGCCACTAACCTAGTACTACTATAATACAAGTAGTATGTATTAGTACTAAACTATAATACACACAAATATAATTGACACTCCGGCGATTTTTCTCAATATACGCGAATATTAAAAATCGTTCTCTATGCACATCACTAACTGTCATACTTTTTTTTAATAGTTTTCCGGCTTTGGATATTTCCTTACACTCCATCTTTAATCTATATCAGTTTTATTGTAGTAAATAATCTTGCCGATGATGTTATCTATTCGATTCCATATCTAATTGTCATACTGTATTGTGTAGTGTTGTGCAATACGTCAATGTCGCAGATGACAGTGACGTACCCCGGATACGGACAAGTATTATGCTGACCTTCGTTGATTGGGACATACGAGTATGTGCCCACAAGACAATGTGTTGCAAAATGTATGAGCGCTCAGTAGTGAGTTTGAGATGGTTTAATAATTTTGCATTGTAAGAAAACAAAGACTTCATTGTAAGACTATTTGAGTGTTACAAAGCATTGTAAGAAAAAAGAAAGAAAAACAAGAAAGAAAAAGTAATTAAATTAACCTTATCGATAAGAATATTATCTTTATTAATATTATAAAAAAGGATTTGTTTGTTTGTATATGATAAACTAAAAAACAGTTATTACAATAACTGCTTTTTAAAATTGTTTTACCCATAGAAAGCTGAATTTTATTTTAATAATAATATATTAAATTAAAGTACTCATAAATCATCATCATCATCAAGTAAATTTAAGTACTCATGTTACAATTTTTATTTATAATGATTTAATTTAAATTATTAAAAATATTTTTAGTATTTTTTTTTATTTAGTCATGTTAAAATTTAGACTAGTTAAGTACAAACTTACTTTACCACAGATACAAATCATATTACTTATAGTTGTATATATTATGAAATCAAAGAAAATGAGAATCAAGTAAAACACGTGTATTAGAGTTATATAAATTATTTCCAATAAATAAAATACTTAAATAACATAGTATATCCCATTATTGAAATCATTTATGTTAAGTGTTTATAATAAGCACCTACCAGTTATTATAATGTTACACATAAATGAACAATGGGAAAACAAGTCAACTGACTTTATCGATGCAACATCATTGACAATAAAAAAAATAGTCATTTTATTTTAAGTAATTTGACTTATTACCACTAGCTTTTGCCAAATACTTCGTATGCATAAATTTTGGAATTAAATAACTATTTCTAGATAGTATATCAAGATAAAACCTTAGATTAAATAGATAGAGCAACGAGCTTCAAAAACGGCTCAACTTTTTGTCAGTTAATTTAATTGTCAAATTAGTTGATTCGTTTTTTTTTATCAGTGTTTTACATAGGTACTTATACATAAAATGTATCTTTATGTATTTAATAAATAAAATGAGTGTTTACGCATTAAAAAGATGCAGAATTTATAAGACAAAATAAATATAGAAGTTGTAAAGGAATCACTCGTAACTATTTATCACGCAAAATTGTATGAAAAAGTTGATCCGTTTTTCTCGAAACATTTCTATGGAGATACTCTATCTATATAATCTAAGGATAAAACATACACTAGATTTTAAGTTTGACTTTCAGAAATACAGTTATGAAAATTGCATCCAATTTGTTTAAATTATTATTGCGTGACGACAGAACAAGCACACAGACAGACAGATAAAATTTGTAAACAATTTTAGCTTTTATTGTTCATACATACATCATTTTGTAACGATTTTTTTATACCATTCAAATAAAATAAAATGTAAAATTCAAGCATACGGCCCACCTGATGGTATGTGGTTACTGTGTGTTTGAATTCTCACATACAAAGTAAAATTCTTCAAAAGGGGGGTAAAGAGGTTTCTTCAGGGTCGGCAATACCCCTGATATTGCAGGCATTCATAGGCTACAGTAACCGTTTACCATCAGACGGGCTGTATGCTTGTTTTCCACCCTCGTGATATAAAAAAAGTATGAGTTATAAAGTTTATTTTTTGTATATTATTGCAGTGAGCGAATGCTGGCAAGTTCCGTTCGATAGAAAGTGGTAAACGTCGCTTACAAATACACTATAAACATCACAGAATATACTGTGCTATCCATGGGAAGCCCTGCATGTTTTGTTCAATTCACGCAGAAATCGGTATTGAGCCTATTGTGTCAGAGTTAATAGATGTAAGCTAATTCGTTAGATTATTTAAAAAAAAAAAATATTTTTATGAAATTGACTGTCATTTTGTTAGTAAATAAATATTACTAAAAATAGGTTCCTTTAATTTTTATTGATGGGAGAAATAATTCTTTTGTTTGCTAATAAATTATTGAGATTAGATGGGAGTAAAGTCTTTGGAAAACAGTTTATGGTGAAGTTAGAATAAAATCTATATTAACTCTTAAAATAAATTATCTTAGAAACAATTATAAATTAACTAAATTATTAACTAACTAATAAATTGTTATTATTTAAAACAATAATAAAAGTAAAAAGAAAAATATAATAATAAAAGAATAACAGTACACAAAGCAATAACTGATACATATTTTTTAACATATTGGATTTTCAAAAAGGGTTTCAGTAACCATAGACTAAAATTGTACTGGTAATTTGGTTTTAATAAATCACAAAATAAAAATATACTCACGTTCGTACGCAGAGACGTTAAAATACACGTGACGTGGCTCGCGACCGTCCGGCCACAAAGCACAATGTGAACTGACTAACGTAACCTCACACCTTAATCTCTTAGCTGTTGGGCAATGCAGCCTTTTGTAAACACACGCTTGCTTATTCTCACGAGCAATGCGGTGTCGTTACAAATATATTTTCAATATAACTCAATGTAAATGTAAATAAATGAATAATTAACTCGACTTATAGTCGGGTTACTTATTCTAGATATTATATATCGTCATAGTCGTAGAATACTGACGGATCTACATATGTAATATTTGTCAGATACGTCAGTATTCTATGACTATGACGATATATTATGCGTTTAAATGTTATTTTTATATTCATCCAAAATTCCTTCAACTCCCATATTTAAGTGATACGATTTGGAATCATTATTGGAAAATTTTAATTTGTAATTTGTGAGTTACTAGCTGTATTCCGGGGCTTTGACCACGTAAATGAGTAAGTATATACAGTATCTTATGTGCTAAGTTACTATGTAATTACTCAAATTTTATTCAAGTTTATTCTGTAATTTTTGCGTAAAAGAGTAAGAAACATCCATTCATCCATTCATCCATCGTTACAGACTTTCGAACTTATTATATTATTATTTAATTTATTAATATTTTTTTTTATTTAATTATCATACATAAATACATTAAAAAAATTGGATTTTTAGTACCACTTAAACCTCTTGGGCTTTATTTACTATATTTATGTTTGTCAACCATTAAAGGGATGCTTAAAAAATAACTTTACCAGATTATAGTTTACTCGACCGAAACAAAAGTGTAAATAATATTTGTTTAATAATACAAGTTGTGTCGAATATAGGTCAGTATATTTATGTAATTGCAATATCTTTAAGGAATTGAAAGTGCAACAATTGAATTAACTACTTATGTATATAGATATTAAAGTAAAAATCTATATAAATTTGTGTAAGTAAACAGATATACAGGAAGTTTGTGTAAAGTTGAACAAATGTGAAGGATAAAAAAGCTGTAAACGTCTAAAATTGGTAATGACTAAGTAAACTATAGGTTTTATGAATAACTTCTCCATCCCTTATTACTTGTACTAAAGGGGATCGATAAGGAAGGAACTCTTATTATAATTATTTCAGCCGTTAACTACCCACTGCTGGACTTAAGCATTCCCCATAAGGGGAGTTTTGCCAGTAGTTGCCACGTTTGACAGGCGGGTTGGCAACCGCAGTTGGCTTTTAGAGAGGTTTTAAGAGGGACGCTGCTGCCCATCCCTTGTCCGCCATTCCTCGCAGGAAGGAACTTACTCATTTATTATTAATTTTATAACAAACTCACTTATTAAGTAAGTATTAGTAAGGATTATTCTGGCATACTCTCGAATTATCGATGTTTATATATTTCTGTTATATATCTAGAATATATTACCCACGATTACGTGAGCACCAATCATTGAAACTTTGGTAAATCTCTCCTTTAATAATTTTGAGTTTTTACTGGTGTGGTTGTTTCTGTATAAAAAATAAGTATTTTTTATTCAAATAAACTTAATTAACAGCCTATGGAAGAGGCCTATATTCAGCAGTGGACAGATAATGACTGACATGATAATGACATTTTTTTAGACAACTTACAGTGGCAAACAAGCTGACGGCCCACCTGATGGAAAGTGGTAACTGTCGTCTATAGACAGAGCAGTACCATGGACATAACAGAGTATACTGTTTCGCCCATGATACCTCCCATGCGTTGCCATTCCTGAGGACTCAGGTGTTATTCCTCTGTACCCTGTAAATTCACGCCATATCCCACCCTTCAAACCGAAACACAGCCATGCAAACACAACTGCTTCACGGTAGAAACACGAATAGGACAGAGGTACCTACCGACCGACCGACCGAGTACCGACTTTTGTACAAGTCTCCCTCTGGTATTTTTGGTAGTTTTGATGCATCTACCGCCCAGCTGCAATTTTAGTTGAGAAAAACGGGCAAGAAATACAGTTGTTGCTATATGTATGGTACGACAATAGCATCTTCATAAATATATTGTGACATTAATTGCTATCTCTACGAACTAGGGTGCATAGGAAGGGGATAGGCTATGGAAATTACTCTGCAATATCTTACCATTCGAAACGAAATAAAGATAGCTAAGTTGCTTAGCAATAGAAATTCTGACGTGATAGACCTACCCACAGTGATTTTGTTTAAAATTTCCTATGCCTTTGCATACTTCGTTACATATAAGTCATAAGTCATTATTTTGTTCAAAATTCCCTTCTGGCAACTGGATAGGAATGTGAAATAAATAAAAAAGATTTATAAAAAAACCAGTTTAATTAAAAAAAATGTTGTATCTACGTCTATTTTATTAGTATAATTTCAATATAATAATATCACAATGTAAGAGCACCAACAAATGAATTACAAACAAGGTTGAATCAGACTGAATAATGATAAAGATGAGATAGTGTGATTGCTTTTTCATAATTATTCTATCTTATAATATAATTTGAATCTTTGTGATGCTTATGGCTTAATATAAAACTGTACCTTAATTATCCATTGTACTAAACTTATTAATATTAATAATAAATGAGCTGCGTCATGCGGAAATCTAGAATTAGAGAGATTTTTATATTACGAGAGTGGCATACGAAACATTAGAGATCTTGACAGAAGATATGGAAAGAAATGCCTTTTTAAGGTACCCACATAAGATTGGACAAAGGATAGACAAAACAACAGGATAGGTGATCCTGACTCTATAACCATTTTTTTTTAACTCGGTTTAGATTAGACCCAAGGTATAAAGCTATATACAACAAAAAATCAGACAAGGTATTTTCTAACTCTACGAAATGCTATTTCGTATGTTCTTAGTGCTTGTTATAAAACGAGATGGTCATTTTCACTATAAAGATGCACTATAAAGATGTTTCATGGAATTTTGAAATTAGGTATCTTTCATAAAATGCTAACATAATATACACATATTAAACAACTTCTCTGAACTAGATAGCGTGGCAAAATAAAAAAGTGGGTGTTTCTTCGCGTTATTATAAAGATCTTAAAGTAGTTATAGGCATCACAAGTTTTTCAAGTGGGTTCACAAAATCCAATTCACATTCGAGTAAGGAAAAAATGTGTACCTAAATCTTCTTTAGACCTGCATAGGACAATCTTTGTAGTCCCATATTTACTGTATTCAAGTTAAAGTCAGGTGTTTGTGGAAAAAAATCATTCGGCTCTGTAAACCGTTTACAAATAAAATAAAAAGATTCATGCCAATTGGCCCAGAGAAAATGAAAGACATCGAAATGCATACATGAAAAAAGATATGCAGCGAACATACTTATACGACCTTCTCCTTTTTTGATGATAATTAAAAATATAACATATCACGTGTAGCCAGTTTCGTACGCTGAAGGTTCTGTAGGTAAAATGTACGATGTAAAAATTGTCACAATTGATTCTTTACACCAAAAACCCATAACAAAAATGTCTGTCACTGTCAATACAGTAACTTATATTCGATAGTTTATATTACTGATGATTTTCTATATTAATCGATAGACAGCTGTCTAAATGAACCATCTATACCGAATAGTTCGTCATAGTTAGTCGGTTTCCCAGGTCTGAGTGCTTCATTTGCTTTGACCGATTCTTCTGCCAGAAACCAGTCTGTGTATTCATCTAGCTTCTTCTCCCAAGCCTCTGAAATTTATAAAGAATAAAGTAATAATAATTTATAACGTACTGTAGTTAATAAGTATGGGAAATTAGCTTATTCTGTATTGGATTATATGGATTTACCACTTGAGAATCATCTACCCCAATGATTATTCGTTCTTCAAATTATCATATGGTCTCGCATATTGCCATTTTAACTTGCTTCTTCCTTTCGTACTCTGTCGGATATTTTGGTTTAGATCAGAGGGCCTACCATGAAATGTTTTCCGAAATTTCAGATCCGAACGAAACACAAATTTGATGTTAAAATTACATGATACGTACCGTTTAAAAATATTAAAAATGCTAAAGTATCGTTCCTTTGGACTTTTATGGTAGGATTTATGACAAATGAAATCTTAGGGTCGATTTTGGTACAAACAAAAACACGAAATTGAGCCCGAAAATTTGGAATTTCAATTCATAATAGACCCCCAGATTCTAAGCAATTATAAACAATATTTTTTGTGCGGTTAAGAAAGGCAAGTAAATTGGCAGCCCACTTAAATGATTTCCTGCGTACTAAAATGTCATACTTTCATCACAATACTTTTACTAGGGCAATATTTTACTGTACTTATATTAAAATATGACAATATTTTACTCCCTAAACTGAAACATAGACATGAAGACATATTTATACTTGTCCTTATAACTATTTACATATTTTACAAATTCAAAATTCGAATGGTTTATAAACTGACAGTCCACCTGGATGGAAAATTGTAACCGTCGCCTATAAACATGGTATCTTGCAGTTGTTATCATTCCTAAGGACTACGATATCATATTTCTGTACTCTGTAATGTCACTGCCATATTAAAAGATGGATCCTTCAAACCATAACACAGCTATGCAGGTATTATTGCTTCACAGCAGTAACACGAGAGAGGTAAAGGCACTCATATATATAAGATTTTTGTACAAATCTTTATTAAAACTTACTTTGAATATCTTCAAGATGGCCACTGGTTCCACCAAATTCCACTGGGAGCATATCTTTGGGCACATATTCGTAAAGGGTTTCAAGAGAGTTGTGAATGAATATCTGAAAAGGGGTAATTTTAACAATGAGATTTATTTTATCTTGCTTATTATACATATACGAGTAAAACAATATATAATATAACATAGAATGGGAATATAATGGGCTATTCCTGCCTTTCTCGTGGGTGTCATAAGAGACGATTAAGGGACCTTAATGGTCAAGGCTCGGCTGATATGATGTGGTATGGTGCGTGGATATTTGCAAAAAATATTGCAAGTTTATTAGATGAATTATTGTTTTTTTATATTATTGTTTTTAATACTTTTTTTACACCACTAAGGTGGCAAACAAGCATATAGCCCACCTGATGGTAAGCAGTAACATTGCTTCTTATTTTTGTTTTAATATTATTATTACAGTTGTACCTACCCTTTTCTTGATTTTATCCTTCAGGAATGGTTTAACGATGCTCATTACAGCATCCACCAGGGGTGATACATTCACCACGTGTATTTCTTTGAGCTTCACAGGATATGCTTCCTGAAATACAGTGAATTTTTATTTTAATATGACAATAATATATATTTATTTATTCAATTTGTTCCAGAAAACTGACACGGGAGTAAACCTCTGTCGGTTATAAAAGAAGCATCAAAACACATTCTGAATGGGGGTTAGCATATTTTTAAAGTCGATTGAAAAAGGTTTGTTTTGTAGTAAGAAAAGATATAATTTATACTGATTGGAAATGAAAATAAGTTGACGGTCTCATTGATATAAAGTGGTAACCATCGCCGAAACAGAAACCTAGTGTTCTATTCCGACGAAGTTTTGGGCGAATGTCCGAATCCAAAATTCATTCACCCAAAATTTCGGATTACTCATTTCTGAGTATACCTCCTGAACATCATAGAACTCACTCTAATACATGTGGTGTACCTTACTTGCGTTGTTATTCTTGAGAATGGAGTTAATTGTTTGTAAATGAGATAGATAGATACTATTTAGTGTTTTCTCCTGAAGATTATAATAATAAATTTATTATAGATACAAACAATTACAAGAAATGATCATAGTGAGAAAACAATGGACTGTCTTATCGCTAAAAGTGATCTGTTCTCTAAGTGATTCTTCTCTCTTGGCGCCTTAACAGCTTAATCAATCATTATGCAATTTGGTATCCACGTACTATTTGAGGTGGAGAAGGACATAGGTTTCTGTTTATCACGGTCAGTGAACCGGCCACGCGGACGAATTCGCGGGTGAAAGCTAGTATTTAATGAATAGGTAAATACCTGAACACAGATTAAGAATCTCTTGATGGTACCAGGCGATATTTTCCCCAAGTGGCTGGGAACCAAAATGGACGCATCCAAAACGTAGACATCTCCAGCCACACCCTCCAATTCTTCTTTCAACCTGATATCTCCGATCATCATGGCGATTTTGAATACGTTTGTCAAATGGGATGGGTCAAGACTATTATCCAGAGCTGGAACAACATTAACAGTATGTATATGAATATTATTAATGATATAGATTTATTAAGTAATTATTAAGAAGTGGTTTCAAAGTATAATATATAAGTATAATATGTAACATTATGTATATATATATATATATATATATTCTTTATTGTACTAAAACATACAATAAAACATTTCAGATTCTCAAAGGTTGACTGTAAGAGATACAATAAAGATTTTACAATACAATACAATACAGTAATAATAACAAATTAGTAACAAAGTGAGTATAGACAAACATAGAAGGGAATTCCAGTCAACCGAATACAGTGGCATAGGAAGTAGTGCCATTATCTCCAGCATGTTAGTGTTTAAATCAGGCCTAGCCTGTATCTTAGATACCAGTGTCTTCAATTAGATGCATATTTTATATAGAAAATAATACTAGTTGTAATAATAATAATAAAATTATATATAATAATATTGACGCTACCTTAAGAGACAGCATGCTCTGCTCTCTATATTGAACTCATGATTTTCAATAGTGGTACAAATAAATCGATTAATTGATCGAAGGTTTTGATTTCTTAACAATATCATTTACTTACAGAGTGTTTCTGTTATAATTTCAACAAAACTTAGTTACCTTTTTATTAAGTTCCATTGAAACAGACTATACAAATTTGTTTTTTTATTCAAGACGCTTCTAATTAGCCTGGGAATTCATATGGACAGTAAGTATGTAGTTATTAATGTATCTAGAACCACGGATATTTTCGAATTCACTGTAGTATACCATGTATATGAAAATCCAGTGTTTCTAATGTCCAAAACTGATCAACTGTTTTTAATGAAACTTTGTTTATTGTTTATTTGTTTGTTTATTGTTTACTCTAACTTGAGAAATAGGATAATTTTAATACCGAAAAGAAAAAATGGGAAAAGAAGAAAACAACTAAGATTATAATAAATATGGAAGTTTGTAACGATGTTTAGTTGTTTGTTATAACGATATATATTACGAATAAACGGCTAAACGAATTTTGTATATGAGTAATTTAAGCCCTAACTTAATATGCAAATCGAATGAAATTTGGTATACGAAAACATTTTCTCCCAATTTAACACGTACAATACTCTATATAATTATGTACGCGGACAAAGCCACGGGAGAAAGATAGTATAAAAAGAAAATAGTATTTATAATATGAAAATATACAGTTTTATTTTGTTTAAAAAATATAGTAACAAATGGTTTTATTTAAAAATATACAGTTATTTTTATGTCGACTTTATTAACGTTTTAAATTCGGGGATGTCTGACTAGTTTCGAACTTAATAGGAGCTTTATTCATGAGCGCGGTTCTCGACTGTACTGTATAATGTAGTACGACTCACGACAGTTATTATTAAATAGTTTTACTACATGTAATTATAACAATCATGCTTACTTCGTTACAATTTTAATTATCTTATTTTCAAACACAAAGTTACAAAGTGTTCATATAAAAATAATGATTATATAATTGCAGTAAATTACCTCTTGTAAGAATGACTCGGTAACCTTTAGGCGTTAATCCAGGTAATGCTGGGCCTTGTCTGAAAATAAAAAAAAGAAATATTATTTATGTTTTACTACAACTATTAGTCGTAGTCCATTCTATGCCGCGTGGTCCCGACGTAGAATGGGGCACCTTTTTCTTTTTTTCTGGGTATTGTAAGAGGCGACCATTAGAACTTAAAGGTCGAGAGATAGATAGCAGCGTCTATCGTAAAGTCAAAATGCGGTTACCAACCCGCCTGTCAAGCGTGGTAACTATTGGTACAAGGGGGGAAAGGGATTGTTAGTAATGGAGACTGAGAATCCCATTGTTATGTCCACGGTACTGTTCATGTCTATAGGCGACGGTTACCACTTTCCATCAGGTGGGCCGTCAGCTTGTTTGCCATTCTAAGTTGTATAAAAAAAACCCACCAGGTCGACTTCGTCGCGGTTCTCCCTGGAAACTATTATGGTCAATTCCTGATGAATTCATCATGATGGGCTAACTGGCCTGTTTTCATTCTCATCTATCACCCTTCACTGGTGCTCCGCCAGCGTATCCCGTCAGCGCAGGCGGGGTTACCATACCATTTTCACCCATAAAAAAAAAACTACTGGCACAACCTCCTCTTATGGGTGAAACCGGTGTTCAGCAGTGGACCGTTAAATGCAGAATGAATGACTCATGGCAGCTATTAGACATATTTGAGCGTACATAAATTGTCCTCACATGATAGCGGAAAATATGTATATTTTTATGAGGCACCGAAATTAAAATTCAAAGCATTTAGTACGTGAATATGGTTTGAAGCCGTGACCCGCAAGTCAATAAGAAACAAAACACGCAGAATTCTATGAACTTGCAGATATGTATATATATATTTTTTTACACAAATGCCAAATCTTTTTATCTGATTGCTAAAATGTTTTTTGGGCGTATGTAAATGTGTATTTTTAAAACAACAATGGTATATCAGCTTTTTTTACCAGTGGGATATTTTGTATAAAAGTCGTTTACTTGGGTATCTCTGTACCATTCGTGTTTTTGCTGTGAAGCAATTGTGTTTGTATGACTGTGTTTCGGTTTGAAGTATGAGATATGGAAATGAAATTACAGGGTACAGAGGCACAACCTTAGTTTTTAGGAATGGCAAATCATGGGGTATCTCGGGTGACACAGTATACTCTGTTACATCCATAGTACTATTGGCGACGGTTACGACTTATCATCAGGTGGACCGTCAGATTGTTTGTTATTCTAAATAGCATAAAAAGAGCTGACGATCTGTCTAATGGAAGGTGGTTACTGTCGCATTTAGACAAACAGCTGTGGCCAACACAAGCAGATGGTATAATTAAGATGATAAGATTAGGAGTAGGCTTATGTCCAGCTGTGGACAGTTAAAGGCTGATATGATGATGATGAAGATGATAACATTATACCTAATGATGATGATTTTTAGACATTTGACTTGAAAAGGTTTTAAAGGACATTTTAAGATTAAATCCTCTTATGCAACATGAACACCTCTTCCTTCTCCGTGCATGTTGTAAGTAAGTTATACCAGAGCGAGAATTTGTACAAAAGTCGTTTGCTTGGGTACCTCTGGCCCATTCGTGTTTCAACCGTGAAGCAGTTGTGTTTGCATGGCTGTGTTTCGGTTTAAAGGTGGGAAAAGGCGTGAACTTACAGGGTACAAAGGAATAACACCTGAGTCCTCAGGAATGGCTACGCATGGGGGGTATCATGGGCGAAACAGTATACTCTGTTATGTCCATGGTACTGCTCATGTCTATAGGCAACGGTTACTACTTTCCATCAGGTGGGCTGTCAGCTTGTTTGCCATTCTAAGTTGTATAAAAAAAAAGGAAAAAGAGACGACTAAGGACACTTAATGGTCGAAGGATGGACAGCAGCGTCTTATCTTAAAACATCACCAAAGCCTAACTGTGGCTGCCAATCCACCTGCCAAGCGTGGCAATTACCTCTTAGCGTCTCAAGGACTTAATTAATCACTATGAAATTTGGTATAAAGTGTAATCACCCTCTATTCATCAGATCCTTGAGTTCCGGACGTTTAATGTCTCTGTTAGTGAAGAATTCAGGGCATGCAGTCCGCATAGTGAAGTACATGTCCAGTTTTCTCTTGCACTTTTCCAAGGAGAAACTGCAGCCTCGAAGGAAGGTCATTAGGCACTGATCATCTGTAATATAAGTAATGGCCCATCTTATTATCCTTTCTAATATTATAAATGTGAAAGTAAGTATGTTTCTTTTGTTGCCTTATAGTGCCTTAATATTCTAAACAATTACTATGAAATTTACTGTACACGTACTATTTGGGATGCTGAAAGATATAGGCTCCTTTTCATCCTAGTCACGCGGACGAAGTCGCGGGTAAAAGCAAGTAATATAAAAAATGCGAAATTTTGTAGCGATTGATGAAGGGATGTATGTTTATTACTCTTTCACACAAAAACTACTGAACGGATTTAAAAGAAATTTATTAAGTTATATTCTAATTTAACTTCATTTTTCTAGTTAAATTCTCTGCTAAGTTTCAAGGTGATTTAAAATTAACCAATCCGTATTAATGTTACACATTAGCTATATTCTGCAGCTTCGCCCTCGTCAATCCATATATTAAGCATCCTATGTGCTAACTTAAGAAATAATCTACACGTGTATCAATTATTATATTAATAAGATGTAAAGGTGAGTTTGGTTGTTTGTTGGTTAACGGCTTGACCAATCATTTTAAAACTTGGAATACACGTACTATATAAGATAAAGAAGGACAAATGCTACTTTCATCCCGGTCAGTGAACATTATGTATACTAATATTATAAAGAGGAAAACTTTGTTTGTTTGGTTGTAATGAATAGGCTCAAAAACTACTGGACCGATTTTAAAAATTCTTTCACCATTCGAAAGCTACATTATCCACGAGTAACATAGGCTATATTTTATTTTGGAAAAAAATAGGGTTCCGTAAGATATTTGGATTTTTCGGACACAAACTGAAAAAAATCAACCAAAGAAGTTACTTATTTTGCGTACGCTGCCTAAACTACAAAAGATAGAACCATAAAATGTTATAATTAATTGTAGATCTTATAAATATCTACAAAAAAGTCCGCGACACACTATCTATGTCGAGTGAGGCACAACAACCATTTTTTTATTTAAAAATCTTGATTTTTTTTGGACTACATTTAAACGCATTTATTTTACTCATGTTATTAATCCTTATCCAAATAAATCTATCAAGTTATTTCCAAAAATTATATATTGCGATAACCAAGATCCACGCGGGCGAAGCCGCGGGCGAAAACTAGTCTTAAATACATGGACAAAGTTACATATAAACGCTAGTATCTACATACTCGGTGTCGTCCGACTAAATTTCAAAATTCAAAATTACAATATTCAAAATATTTATTCATTCTCCACAATACTGTATGAATAAACTGTTTATTTAAGAATAAAATTAAATTAAATGAAGTTTATAGTAAAAAACTTTGAACTTTCAACCTTATGCTACCAGCTTATGCTTATGCTACCTTATTACCAGAGGGAGACTTTGTACAAAAGTCGTTTGCTTGGGTACCTCTGTCCCATTCGTGTTTCAACCGTGAAGCAGTTGTGTTTACATGGCTGTGTTTCGGTTTGAAGGGTGGGATATGGCGTGAATTTACTGGGTACAGAGGAATAACACCTGAGTACTCAGGAATGGTAACGCATGGGGGATATCATGGGCGAAACAGTATATTCTGTTATGTCCATGGTACTGCTCATGTCTATAGGCGACGGTCACCACTTTACATCAGGTGGGCCGTCAACTTGTTTGCCATTCTAAGTTGTATAAAAAAAAATGCTAGTGGCTTAAGATAACTATTGGCATCCATCTTACCCCATTCATCAGGTAGATGTGGCTGCTTCCTCAACCATTCCTTAATGGCAGCGAGATCCTGGTCCCGGGTACTCACGTCCTCGTTCAATTCTACCCTGATCTTCTTCCAGAGTTCTCCCGAAGGTTGTACGAGTAAGGCTGTCGACATCTTTAGTCTGGATAGGAAATAAAAGCTGTTAGACTATATGTAACCAGTTATGAGTATATCATACGTATATCTGTATATCTCGCCGTGAGTGATCACCCCTTCCTTTCCCGTGGGTGTCGTAAAAGGCGACAAAGGGAGGGCGATGGATGGGGAGTAGCGTCCCTCTTGAAATGTCTACAGAGGGAGACTTTGTACAAAAGTCTTTTGCTTGGGTACCTCTGTTCCATTCGTGTTTATACCGTGAAGCAGTTGTGTTTGCATAGCTGTGTTTCGGTTTGAAGGGTGGGATGTGGCGTAAATTTACATGGTACAGAGGAATAACACCTGAGTCCTCAGGAATGGCAACGCACTCTGTTATGTCCATGGTATTGCTCATGTCTATAGGCGATGGTTACCACTTTCCATCAGGTGGGCCGTCAGCTTGTTTGCCATTCTAAGTTGTATAAAAAAAAATTCAAAACCTGACTGCGGTTGCTAATCCGCTTGCCAAGGGTGGTAACTACTAGCAAAACGCCCCTAAGGGGGAGGCTTATGTTCAGCAGTGGACAGTTAACGGCTGATATGATTCGAATAATTATTGTATTATTATTAATTAAAGACTGTGTCCCTCAAAAAAAAAAGACTTCAATTGTGAAAAAACCAGTTATTTTGATCATTAAACTGTTGAACCGATTTTGATAAAATTACTATAAAACCAGTCTAAAGTAAATCTTTTCAGATAATACCAATCCTGAGTCCTCAGGAATGGCAACGCATGGGGGGTATCGTGTTAATTAAATTTCAAAATTCAAAATTACAATATTCAAAATATTTATTCATTCTCCACAATACTGTATGAATAAACTGTTTATTTAAGAATAAAATTAAATTAAATGAAGTTTATAGTAAAAAACTTTGAACTTTCAACCTTATGCTACCAGCTTATGCTTATGCTACCTTATTACCAGAGGGAGACTTTGTACAAAAGTCGTTTGCTTGGGTACCTCTGTCCCATTCGTGTTTCAACCGTGAAGCAGTTGTGTTTACATGGCTGTGTTTCGGTTTGAAGGGTGGGATATGGCGTGAATTTACTGGGTACAGAGGAATAACACCTGAGTACTCAGGAATGGTAACGCATGGGGGATATCATGGGCGAAACAGTATACTCTGTTATGTCCATGGTACTGCTCATGTTTATAGGCGACGGTTACCACTTTCCATCAGGTGGGCCGTTAGCTTGATCGCCATTCTAAGTTGTATTAAAAAAAATACAAAAAAAAAATTTCGAATCGGTCTAGAACTAACGGAGTTATGTGGTAACAAACATAAAAACAATACTAGAGACTTCAAAAAGACGCAGGTTCTCAACCTTTTTCTTTTGGAAGTCCGTAGAAAAAAAAGAATGGTGTTAGATGAGATCATTGCTCTCTACGGCTCCACATCTTGTTATTCAATTTTGTACAGTATGAAATTTTCATGAATACAGAATTGAACATTTTAATATTAGATTCTATTGTTAAGTAAACATTTAGGTACCTACAGTTTCTTCTCTTCTGTCATAAATGTCAAATATCGTTGATAAATAAACGACAAACACAATGAAATATGTCCACGTATTTGAAAATTTCTAGATACCTATTATTATAATATATATTTGTGACTAAACCAGGGGTTCTCAAACTTTAAAATATTTTATCTCGGCGTCCCATAGTAGTTAGTTCTCAATATTAGAAAAATACTAGGTATAGTAAATAGACACAAAAATGATAACATTCACAATATGTTAGGATTTCTATATTTTCATTGACATGCAAGAAATATTTATAATGTAAAAAAAATGGGATATAAAATACAACTGTGTCAGTTTGGTGTTCTCTACATATTTTTTCAAAGCGCAGGACAAGGTTTGATACTGCTATTAATATTTTTTACTCCACAGATTTTTGGCCGTTTCGAGGCAATGGTAAATAAGAATGTCTCACGGCGGCACTCTATGCTCTTTACGACCGTATTAGAGCACCGCAGTGCACAGTTTGGGAATCCTTGGACTAAACTCTAAGTAGATAAGTTTCGTCCAGTCATCATTACCGTCACACCTAATCAATAATGTGTGGCTAAAAATGCTTCAGTAAAAATAGTTCAACTTTATTTTTAAAAGACGCCATTAGCCGAATTAGCAAGTCATGACATTTTTTTAAGCAATTCAGAATGGCAAACAAGCTAACGGCACACCTGATGGGAAGTGTTAATCGTCGCGACGTATATAGATATGAACAGTACCATGGGTGTAACACAGTATATTATGTCGCCCATGATATTCATGTTATAGCTCTGTACCTATTTCACTGCCGTATCCCACCATTCAAATCGAAACACAGCCATGCAAGTACAACTCCATTTTACGGAAGAAACAGGAATGGGACAGAGGTACCCAAGCAAACGGTTTTTATACAAAGTCACCCTCTCGTAGAGGGATTTCTTACACAGATCTGTCACTTTGTTTACGAGTATTTATTTGTACAAATATCAATATTACGCTTGAATATTGAATATTTTAACTTATTTTAAAATTTTATATTTAAGCAATAGATACTGGTAGAGAACACCGATAGCTATTACGTCCTACGCAAAGACCCTTGCGGGACAGGCAGAAAAAATCGAGCGGCCTCTAAAGGCCTCCTATTAATAATTCCTTCCTACATTTTTACGACTCGTCACACATGCTCACACATGTTCACACATGTTCAAAAAACTTTTGACTTTTTCTTCAGATAGATCACTATCTATTCAACTAAATATAGGTATATATTTATGTATATGTACATGTGTATTAGTACGATTAAATATAATGTAATTAATTTAATTTTGTCTGTTTAAAAATTGTCTCAATATTGTACACTGGTGTATCCGTTGACATTAATGCTCCTTTCCACTTTGGGTTTGCTGGAAGAAAACTCTATCAGAGTTAAGCTCGCCTTTGTACATTTGATTACCTCTGTCATATTCTTATAACTTGTGTGTACAATAAAGTATTAAATAAATAAATATATTTATTCCAAATAATCATTTCAATTTATAATTGAATAGAATATAATAAATTTGTAATGGAAATGATATAATTAATTGAAACTGGATTTTTAATTTTATAAATTATAAATAAGTGCTTTTTATCTAATGATAATGAATCTAATGATGGTGGTCAATCTTCGAGAGTTTGTTCGTTTAGAGGTGAAACACGTGTCGCAAAACGTGCGTGAACGAAATGACAGCCGAAGATTAATGGCTAATATGGAAGATTGTGAAATTTCTGGTAGTAATAGTGATGGACAATCTTCGAGTGTTGGTACTTACACACACACATACTAATAGCAGAATTAAACAAAATAATTCTTATCAAATAAAAATAAAAATAACCAAAACCAGTGACGAAAAAGAAGTAAGAAGTCTGTTTTAAATCATTTTCAAAAATAGGCTTTGACATTAGAATCTGAGTATTTACCACATAGAGATCATTTTTATCAAGACAATTAGAACAAGTCCAAATATGGCTGCTTTATCATGCCTAGTTTACAAGTTCCTATAGCCAGCTTCAATCTTCAACATCGGATCAGCTCGGTGATATTATAATATATAATAATAATATTCATAAGTATACCAAATAGCCTATTCTATTCTGTGTGGTCCCGACACAGAATGGATCACCTCTTACTTTTCCGTGGGTGTTGTAAGAGGCGACTAAGGGAACTTAACGTTCGTCGGATGAGTGGCAGCGTCTATTAAAATATTACCAAAAGTTAACTGCAGTTGTCAACCCGCTTGTCAAGCGTAGCAACTACTGGCAAAACTCTCGTTATGGAAGAGACAGTTAAAGGCTGATATTATAATACATATAATAACAAATAGAACTAATGTAAGTTAGCAAATGGTTAAAAAATAGTTTGCAAATAAAACGTAGGTTGTAAAGCAAGTTAAATAAAGGCTCGTAAAAAAGTTCATTGTCCAGCATTCTGAGCTTGAATCAGACACGAGATCTCACGCACGTTTTGCTTGTTTAGATAATTTTATATTTTAACGTGCACATAAAAAAATGTTGCAACAGTTTAGAAGTTCCTCTCTCCCACCATGCTTCGTAAGGTAGTGCACTTGACCTGTTGTGGTCAAGACGTAAAACTGTCGCTGTAAAAGTACACAGTATATGTGTATTATAATAATTTACAAGATTTTATTTAATGAAGTATGTATTTGCAATGGCATATGTACATTGTTTGAAATGTACAAGGACTTATATTTATTTACACTGTTTGAAATGCAATTAACAAATAAGCTGGCAGTACTAAACTTTAAAAATTGTATATCGTGACACCATTATAAGACCCTGGATTTGAATAAATAGACAATTTATTTAAATAATAATTTATTGAGAAGAAATAAAAAATATAAAAATTATTTAAAATACCTTTTAAGTTAATTTAAATAAATGGTTTATGATTTTTGTTATGATTTAAGTATAGTATTATTATTATTTTTTGCAAAAAAAAAATAGAAGGTATTACACAAAAAAATAGTTTTTAGGTATTATTTTAACTATATAGATTTAAATTGACTGTGGCTGAATACAGATATAAAATTCTTATAAATTTTTTTTTTATAATAAAGTTATGAGAATTGATATATTTCGTGCAGTGGCAACATCGAGGCAAGTGATTCTGTAGTAGTAACATACAAAAGTTTTATTTAATTGAGGTACCAATGACATTTTTAATTTCTATATCTCCGGTACCCACTAATCCTGGTTACTTATATAAAACTTTACCACAATTTAAATCTTTTACCGTTCCAAATTCTAAACAGCGTAAAAATATATATTTATCAATTTTCTATCTATGGTAAACTATTGGTAAATTCGTTTTAATAATAAGATTGCCAACCACAACCGAAGTCGAGCTATGAAGCAATCTGTTATTAACACATATTTGAAAGAGCATTCAAGGTTGAAAATATAATTAAGTTCACCATAGAAGACCCATT